TTAAATCTAACATAACATCATCCCACATATTTGCATGTTCAGCCTTTAAAAATTCCAAGAAGGTCGCAGCATTTAACCTTGCAGGCAAAAGGTAGGGTCCAAATAGTCGATTACGGTAGATACCAATCCACACGTTCATACTAAATTCATGCTGAAAATTTCTTTCCCGAACTGCATACTTTCAATTTCAAAAGTATTTGCAGGCACAGCCTACTTCTAAAAATTGTCGAGATACTGACTTTTTAACGTTATTTTATCATAAAATTGCATCGAACCTTAAAAATCAAAATATCTCAAAAACGGCTAACTATAACGAAAATTCACAAGAGAGCTTTTTTATGTTGAAAAGTGCGAAGAATCAGTTTTTTTATTCAAAAAGCGAAAAATTGCACTAAGAAAAAATGTTCGTCTTTTTAATACACTACAGGTACAGTAGAGAGCGCCCTCTAGCGGCTACAGTAAAACTATGCCCATGGTTCGTTTTGTCGTACCAAAAAAAACCCTTGTATACCATTTTTCACTGTTATACATCAAATATTGTTCGAAATATTTAAAAAAATATATTTTAGAAAGTAAATTTAAACACCCTGTATTTCGGAAGCCACGTATTTTTCGACCCATGTTTATATAGACTTCATGCATTAATTTTAAAAGTTCTATCGAATCTTAAAGTTATGCAACAATAAACTGAAACACCCTGTATTTAAAAGATGCTGTGGGAACAATGTCAACGTTTTATCTTTGTTTTTGTTTACCTCTGTTAAAATATTTTTGAGAAAAAAACAGTTCCTAAGATATATTTTTAGTTATTGCCCTTTCATTTACTTGCCTTAAGCATAAAAAATGTCTGGAGTTCGATGACGTCCAGCGACTTTGACAGGGGCAGAATTATTGCCTATCGAGATGTTGGCTTGTCCTATCGCGAAACTGGCCGCCGTGTTGATTGCACCGCAACGACGGTACTGCGTGTGAGTCGTGTGTGGATAGAAGGAGGCAGAGGAACACGAAGAAGGCTAACTATTCCGCCTGGGTTTTGCTACTAAGCGTCAGAACGCAGAGAACGGCAACATTGGCAGGTTTTAGATATTCAACACAGGGAAGAAGTATTAGAAAAACGACTACAGAATCGTCAGGTAACTGGTCTGAAATTCTCATTAAAAGATTGACAACATTTCAAGATTTTTCATCATGCCGGAGATGATACTCGATTGTCGACTATCGTGGGAGTTTCACGTTGAGTCTTTGTGCGCCAGATTGTGAAGAGGTTGTTATGGCTTGAACATCTTAGTAAATGACTTTTAATGAGTTATACAATGTCACCGTCAACTGCCATATCCGTTTTGGTATTCTCAATTGGGGAAGTAGCTCACTATGTTAGATTTCTGCTACTGCAAAAGTAAGCCTTTAGAATTATTGATAACCTTGGCGCCAATCTCTTAGAGCACTGAAAATGATGACTGTTACAAGATTTATATTTATGAGTTGACTGTGTAAAAAAATAATGGTGAATTGGGAGTCCAGCTAAGTCTAATTAATTCTGCCGAGACATCGAACTACCGCGTACCAAAATACAAGTAGATATAGGGGATATAAGATTTTTAATTAGCTTCATGGTGATACTAGGATGAGTCAAATACAGCAATTTTCAGAAGAAAACTACAAGATTTTTTTCTAGAAATTCTACAGCTGTTTGTTTGGATTTTATAGTTCATACACTTTTCTGTTCTATTTAACAATGAAATTTTTATTTAAACAACAGTCGGTGTAACTGACTTTTACGTATACGCAGATTATTAAATTTGGACCAAACAAATTGTACATTGTCAATGGATCCCACCAAAACACTAAACAATTTTCTTGGTACCTGTAGCTGAATCACAAGGTAAGTCACTGGAGGTTAACGACTGCTCGCGTACTACGAATAGAACAAATATGTTTATTAATGATGCAACTTAAATATTTATCGGTTTCATAATTGGGCGAGACTTTTTATGTCGCCCGGAGAGTTATAGGTGTTGCATATTATAATTTATTGTTGGTTATGGATTTATATTCTGTCTGGTTGATAAATATCCATTATTGATTATTCAAGGATGGTAAAGATAATGCTGTGATTGTGTGATATTTGCAATTATATACATAGCGTTTCTATTAATTTGGTTCGTTTTTGGACAAAGCGGATAAAACTGTGATAAGGATACTTTGCATAAGTATTTTTATTGTCAGTTAAATACTTAACTAGTATCTTGATTCCAGGGCATCGGAGTATGGGAGCCTGTCTTCCCGCAAACTTTGAGGTCACTAATCGGTAAGTCACAGATTACTATTTACTAGCTTAATTTTGAAACGGTTAATGTCTTACCCAACCAAACCTGCTTCAACGGCAACGCATATTCAAAGATCGAGAAACTTAAATTTCCCTGAGGACGGGTAAAAATCCCCTCTTTTTTTGATTAAAATAATATTTTGTTTGGTTAGTTTATTATATCAAATATTACGCATTGATTCGGCTTTGTTGAAAAACAAGGCGTCCTCCTCCTTGCACGCATTGGGGCTTACTGAACAGATTTCAGCAGTCCAAGAAACTTAAATTCCCCCATTTTTTGATAAAAAGATTATTTTGTTTGGATGCGTTGTATTATATCCAGTATTACGTATTCCAGTTTAAGGGTGGATTTCACCAGGATTGTCAAATCAACAGTCCATTATTCTCCAGCTATAGGGTAACAACAGCAAATGAGCTTCAAGTTCCAATCAACAAATTTTAGCAACCAATAGCTATGAAATGTTGAAAACAAAATACTGTCAAAGTATGAGATGACAGCTTGTCATTGAAACATCACCAGCTAGCTTATTGAATATTAAAAAATTACATATGATTTGGTCAGAGTTTAAAAAAGTGTTCGGTTTTTGAATAAAATTCATGTTTTTGTTTAATATTGTCGATTGTTTATTTATATTTATATTATTTTCTTCAATTGTAATGTCACGTATTCCTGTTAAGGGGTCCTAGATTAGGTCAAAAGCAATTCTCTCATTTTCATTGGTCCATTTAAATAACTGACCGTCTTTTCTGAAATGATAAAAACTAGAAATTCGATGAAAGTTATCCTTATTCTAAAGCACAAAGTCATAATATTACATCTACAATGTACCCTTATTTATAAGGCAACCGTTTTTTCACGACTTCATTCAACATTTCAATAGAAATCACTGATATCCAGAGAGCCTTGACAGCTTCCGTCAAACTGGATTTCGATAAGGTCTTTTTCTATTGGTCCAACCGACCTTCAAGTATTAATGTTGGTGAAATTGGCCCCTAATGTATTACTCCTAACTAGTAACACATCGACAGGAGCTTCGGAGAAGTTTTATCTTTTGCATGATTGCTGCATCTGATTTTACCTCCCCAAGGAAAACAAACTTTTCAACAACGTAAATTGTTTGCAAATAGTGAGCCATGAAAATCTCTTGAGGCATTTCTCGAAAACGTAACTTCACCAGTCACAAGATTTGCCTAAGCTCTAATCACACTATTTTAATAAAGATCATTGCGTATATACAGGGTGACTTCGAAGTTGAGTCATTTCTTTTTAACAGTGAGTAGATCTGATCATAAGAAATGTTTTTTTCCTTTACCATTTTTCTGGTAAAATTAAAGTAACAAAGTTATAGCCCTTTGGAAGTTTGAGTACCGCCCTGTCTCAATAATAATATTATGTGCTCGTGTTTGGCAACAACGGATATAATCCGCCTTATCGGTTCATCGCATCGGAAACAAAAAAGCGAAAGAATTTGGAACGATGTTTTTACAATTATTTTATTCAGTTGTATACAGTCAGTCTCAGTCGCGTGAGTGAATAGTGGTGTCTGTTGCGTGGCTCAAACGAAATAAAAAATGGCACATGTTTATGCGGATCGGTTTCCCAATCGAGTGCAACCAACCCCTCGTGCCTTTGTTAATGTAGTACAACTGGCTCGTGAATCAGGTGACTTAAGACCTCACAGGGGACCTCACGATCAAATACAGGTCCGCACTGAAATACTTGTCGGGAGGATACTTTATAAAACAAGGTAACATTTTTTTTTAATTTTACACACATATTTTGGTTTATCTTCCTTCTACAATCATTATCTGAAAATTAATGACTCAACTTCAAAGTCACCCTGTATACAGGTTGGTCTGATTGTTGAGGCTTCCCTCTCCAGAAACATCATGATAAAGTTAATTTTGGGCAAAACGGCGAAGAAACATTTGATTTCAAATTTTGTGTGCTGGGCTGCGTTCGTATGTCCTCATCATTGAGTGCTCCACAATATCCACATCTCTATACGCATCAAAAACCGATATATCGAGACGCCGCTGCGCATAGCATATTCCCCCGGTTAGCCCTACAGAATGATCGCGACCATCGGCAACGCTCGTTTATCTCCGTCAGCGGACGCTAGTGCCGAACAACGCTCCGCCCGTTTTTAACCGATAACCAATAGCGTGTCGAGCGTGCGGCGCAGGACGCAATGACAGGGCTGGCAAGCGCAAACCTGTCGTGTATTGCGTGAGGAGAGGGGACGACGTAGCGAGGAGATCTCAGCTTTGAGGGGTGCTATGGAGTTTTAGTGTTTTGTGTTTTCAGCCTGGCTTTTATGAAACTGTGTTGGAACTTATTTCGATCGATACACAGCTATGTAGATGTATTCCATATTTATCGTCGGTAACAGAAATAAACGTTTAGATATTTTGGTTGTCGCGATCTTGTGTTACGAACATGGTATCAAGCTGATATATCTGTTATAGCAAGTAGAGGATATATTACCAATAATATAACATTCTTCCGACTGCCGGTAGTGTCCGGTACGGATATTAACATATGTAAAAAAAACCTATAAAATGTCATCTTGCAGACTAGGTAGTGTTTAGGGTGCAAACAGTCATTTAACGCATCAACAGATCGATCGTTACTTTTTTCTGTAAACATTAACACGATCGAAATAAAACCTACCTTGATGATGCGACGTGATAACGGCGGCAGCTTTGTTGCCGCTGAGGTAGTCTTCTTTGCAGATGAATTTGTTATCGTCGAGGACGTACAGCTCTTCACCGGTGGACAGCTGTTTCCGACACACCAAACACGTGAAGCAGTTCAGGTGGAACACTTTATCGCGAGCTTTCCGAACAAGATCTGACGGCGAAATTCCCTGACCACAGCCACCGCACTTCGTACCGTACCGCCTGCAAAAAAAAGATACTCAATCAGGCGCTGTATGATAACAAAGTTTACAGTTTCAAAAATATTCTGCCGCATGATTCCAAAATTGAGCCTAATCCTAAGCAAGCTGGGATATGCTGATTATGATATTGGTCCCTGTCTAACTCAACAGGAGGTTTTCGGAAAATAAAATGTCCAAGACAGCTGTGTACGCTATATTTTAGGAATATCGAGAAGAGAAAGAATTTCCAGGCATATCCCGGATATAAAATGGCTTACAGTGCATCGGCGATGGGTCGTGCACCTCCTTTCTTCTCTCCATACGAGGGATGTCTTTTAAGTTTTGCGTATGGAAATAAAACAACACGGTAGGTAGTTTTAAATGACTTTATTACGTTCGATGCGCGCGGCCTAGTATGTTTCTATATGCAAATTTAAAAGACATCGTACAATCCTCTTGTCCAGTTTATGTGTAGTGAAGAGTTAAATAAGGATAAAAAGGCCAATCAAACTGTTGCGCATGTAGCATCCTACTAGCTGGCAACCCACAAAGCATACTAGTGGAATGTGGGTTGCAGCATTTCCAATACTACCAAGACAACCGACGTTGCAATTTTTTACGAGATAAGAAAGCTCCTTGTACGAATGTTGTATACTCAGTATTTAGCGTGAATTTTCCGTCTATATTTATTGACCGTGTAGTCTAGACTTTAGTAAACATTGTTGTAAAAGTTACCTAGCCACTGTCCTACCTAACCTTTGGTCCACATAACAGGGCTCTTACAGAATGAGACAAACCTGATCTATTCAGATTAGTGCATAATTATAGCTCAGCTATTCATAGGATGTGGTGCAGAGCTTGCCTTGATGGTCATTTATGTTCATTTCCATTACCAGAGGGTAAAGATGACTGTATACTATCAGTAAATACTGATGATACGGACCAGTAAATACTGGTCGTGTGAGATTTGATTTAGATACCCCAGAAAGGGTTGTAATATTTTTTGACTGCGCCAGTAGGAAAGGTATGTACACTTAGTTGCATAAACGCAAGACAAACACCAAGATGCAGCTTGTTCCATAATGACCTGAACCAATTATACTGTCTTAGGTTCAATGATAAATGTTCTGCGGAAGATTCAACAGATGGTGATGCCGACTCTTGGGTTTATAAATTAATATAGAAGCAGGTGGATATATGCCCGGCCCGGCACTCGTACAAGTGGACTGTAAATTATTCAATTAATAACCGCAGTTCCGTTCTTGTTAGGAATGGGTTCGTTAAGTACCTCCGTACCGCTATTGACAGATTTACTACAGAAGTGTAATAGGTTGCAGGTTGGAAAATACGGTGCTCGTATGCACCTACCTACAACGGATTGCTGACGTATTGATTTGTTGGGTCAACATTAGAGGGCCATCAACGAATGAGGCGGATTTTCACTTAGGGTCGCAGGTGCCTTTTTTCGCTTTTCGCTTTTTTGTGTATAGAGATGACTAAAAATCCAGGTTTTTTGAGCATCTTATTGTGCACTTTTTCTCTGATCATCGTCACTTGTTAACAAATATTAGTACAGCTCTGAAATTGTATGTGAATATTCCACTTATATTCTTATCACTTTTTCTCTTCGAAAAATCTTTGCGTTTCTTGAAAACCTAACTTGCTGTGAAACGAGGTTTAAGGAAGATCAAAGATTTTTCGAAGAAAAAAGTGATAAGAATAAAATCAGCCGTTTCAGTCTTGCATAAAAGAAAAATATTCACATACAACTTCAGAGCTGTACTTATATTTGTTAACAAGTTACCATTGAAGAAAAAATGCAAAAAGATGCATTTTTTGACAAAAAACATTGTTTTTTAGTCATCTTTATGAATGAGGTGGATTTTCACTTAAGGTCGCAGGAGTTTTTTTTTCGCTTTTCGCTTTTTTGTGTATAAAGATGACTAAAAATCAAGGTTTTTAATTTTTTTTTGCGATAAAATGCATTTTTTTAGCATCTTATTGTGCACTTTTTCTCTGATCGTCACTTGTTAACAAATATTAGTACAGCTCTGAAATTGTATGTGAATATTCCACTTTTATTCTTATCACTTTTTCTCTTCGAAAAATCTTTGCTTTTCTTGAAAACCTAACTTGCTGTGAAACGAGGTTTCAAGATGATCAAAGATTTTTCGAAGAAAAAAGTGATAAGAATAAAATCAGCCGTTTCAGTCTTGCACAAAAGAGAAATATTCACATACAATTTCAGAGCTTTACTTATATTTGTTAACAAGTTACCAATGAAGAAAAAATGCAAAAAGATGCATTTTTTGAAAAAAAACATTGTTTTTTAGTCATCTGTATGAATGAGGTGGATTTTCACTTAAGGTCGCAGGAGTTTTTTTTTCGCTTTTCGCTTTTTTGTGTATAAAGATGACTAAAAATCAAGGTTTTTATTTTTTTTTGCGATAAGATGCATTTTTTTAGCATCTTATTGTGCACTTTTTCTTCAATCGTCACTTGCTAACAAATATTAGTACAGCTCTGAAATTGTATGTGAATATTCCACCTATATTCTTATCACTTTTTCTCTTCGAAAAATCTTTGCTTTTCTTGAAAACCTAACTTGCTGTGAAACGAGGTTTAAGGAAGATCAAAGATTTTTCGAAGAAAAAAGTGATAAGAATTAAATCAGCCGTTTCAGTCTTGCATAAAAGAGAAATATTCACATACAATTTCAGAGCTGTACTTATATTTGTTAACAAGTTGCCATTGAAGAAAAAATGCAAAAAGATGCATTTTTTGACAAAAAACATTGTTTTTAGTCATCTGTATGAATGAGGTCGATTTTCACTTAAGGTCGCGGGGGTTTTTTCGCTTTTCGCTTTTTTGTGTATAAAGATGACTAAAAATCAAGGTTTTTAATTTTTTTTTGCGATAAAATGCATTTTTTAGCATCTTATTGTGCACTTTTTCTCTGATCGTCACTTGTTAACAAATATTAGTACAGCTCTGAAATTGTATGTGAATATTCCACCTATATTCTTATCACTTTTTCTCTTCGAAAAATCTTTGCTTCTCTTGAAAACCTAACTTGCTGTGAAACGAGGTTTAAGGTAGATCAAAGATTTTTCGAAGAAAAACGTGATAAGAATTAAATCAGCCGTTTCAGTCTTGCATAAAAGAGAAATATTCACATACAATTTCAGAGCTTTACTTATATTTGTTAACAAGTAATCATTGAAGAAAAAATGCAAAAAGGTGCATTTTAAAAAAAAAAAACGTTGTTTTTTAGTCATCTGTATGAATGAGGTGGATTTTCACTTAAGGTCGCAGGAGTTTTTTTTCGCTTTTCGCTTTTTTGTGTATAAAGATGACTAAAAGTCAAGGTTTTTAATTTTTTTTGCGATAAAATGCATTTTTTTAGCATCTTATTGTGCACTTTTTCTCTGATCGTCACTTGTTAACAAATATTAGTACAGCTCTGAAATTGTATGTGAATATTCCACCTATATTCTTATCACTTTTTCTCTTCGAAAAATCTTTGCTTCTCTTGAAAACCTAACTTGCTGTGAAACGAGGTTTAAGGTAGATCAAAGATTTTTCGAAGAAAAACGTGATAAGAATTAAATCAGCCGTTTCAGTCTTGCATAAAAGAGAAATATTCACATACAATTTCAGAGCTTTACTTATATTTGTTAACAAGTAACCATTGAAGAAAAAATGCAAAAAGATGCATTTTTTTAAAAAAAAACATTGTTTTTTAGTCATCTGTATGAATGAGGTGGATTTTCACTTAAGGTCGCAGGAGTTTTTTTTCGCTTTTCGCTTTTTTGTGTATAAAGATGACTAAAAGTCAAGGTTTTTAATTTTTTTTTGCGATAAAATGCATTTTTTTAGCATCTTATTGTGCACTTTTTCTCTGATCGTCACTTGTTAACAAATATTAGTACAGCTCTGAAATTGTATATGAATATTCCACCTATATTCTTATCACTTTTTCTCTTCGAAAAATCTTTGCTTTTCATGAAAACCTAACTTGCTGTGAAACGAGGTTTAAGGAAGATCAAAGATTTTTCGAAGAAAAACGTGATAAGAATTAAATCAGCCGTTTCAGTCTTGCATAAAAGAGAAATATTCACATACAATTTCAGAGCTTTACTTATATTTGTTAACAAGTAATCATTGAAGAAAAAATGCAAAAAGGTGCATTTTTTAAAAAAAAAACGTTGTTTTTTAGTCATCTGTATGAATGAGGTGGATTTTCACTTAAGGTCGCAGGAGTTTTTCTTCGCTTTTCGCTTTTTTGTGTATAAAGATGACTAAAAGTCAAGGTTTTTAATTTTTTTTGCGATAAAATGCATTTTTTTAGCATCTTATTGTGCACTTTTTCTCTGATCGTCACTTGTTAACAAATATTAGTACAGCTCTGAAATTGTATGTGAATATTCCACCTATATTCTTATCACTTTTTCTCTTCGAAAAATCTTTGCTTCTCTTGAAAACCTAACTTGCTGTGAAACGAGGTTTAAGGTAGATCAAAGATTTTTCGAAGAAAAACGTGATAAGAATTAAATCAGCCGTTTCAGTCTTGCATAAAAGAGAAATATTCACATACAATTTCAGAGCTTTACTTATATTTGTTAACAAGTAACCATTGAAGAAAAAATGCAAAAAGATGCTTTTTTTTAAAAAAAAACATTGTTTTTTAGTCATCTGTATGAATGAGGTGGATTTTCACTTAAGGTCGCAGGAGTTTTTTTTCGCTTTTCGCTTTTTTGTGTATAAAGATGACTAAAAGTCAAGGTTTTTAATTTTTTTTTGCGATAAAATGCATTTTTTTAGCATCTTATTGTGCACTTTTTCTCTGATCGTCACTTGTTAACAAATATTAGTACAGCTCTGAAATTGTATATGAATATTCCACCTATATTCTTATCACTTTTTCTCTTCGAAAAATCTTTGCTTTTCATGAAAACCTAACTTGCTGTGAAACGAGGTTTAAGGAAGATCAAAGATTTTTCGAAGAAAAAAGTGATAAGA